AACAAACATGAAGCTTTGTAGTTGTTTAAATATCAGACGAATTATTTTTATTAAATATTAAATTTTTTTTGCTATCTAATTTAATTACATGTTAATTTAGAAAATAAACGTCAAACAAGTATTTAATTAACAATATCTAGCAGTTTTCTCAACGGCATAGAGCACAAATACTTGTACATATAGTATGTATAACAAACAAATTCGTCAATTCAAAGAATACCGAAGTTTGATGCAGTTCTTTGTAAACGATATCTAATAGTTTATTTTAATACAATAGTATAAAGTAAATAACACTGATGCATTTTCGCATACGTGTACATATCTCGAATGAAAGCATAGCAATATATGTACATATGTAGCAAACTGTGTGGCCAAGTAGGATTTATAACAATATATTTTCATTTCTTCCTTGATTATCACAAACGCAGAATCTGTTGTAATGGAGATTATGTATTAACAAGTATTTTTTTAAGAAAAAACACAACCGACTTCATTGCTCATATCAAAATTTAGGAGTACCGTTAATTTCTTCATGACCTAATGAACGGAACTAAACCAAACCACCCTTGATAAAAAATAATAATTATTGAAAACGGTTCCCGTGGTTCTAAGTTATACGGTAACAAATGTTAATAAAAATTGTTATAATATCGCAAAGGATCGAAAAATTCAATATCATGAGGTTGAAAGCGTATAGTCGATATGGATATTCATAGACCCAGTTACCACTCATCATCATCGCACTCTCCGGTTTCGTGGCCAAAAACTGAATATGATGGGGAAACAATTAGTTAAGAAATATTTTAGAAACATTTTAATTATGCTTTTAATGAAATCTTACCTTCGCATGTTTCACAGTATTTTCGCGGTTCTGGCAATTTGCGATCCTTTTTCTTCGCTGGATCGTTCAGCGGAGGAGGTGAGTAGTCGCGATCATCGGATGCTTGAAGGGGACAGTCTTCGGTTTCGTGTTTGTCGAATTCATCACATATATCACAAAATACACGTGGTGCTGGCTTCCGTTTTGCGATCAGCTCAAATGCTTTAGGCCTAAGTAAGAAACACCTCAGTGATAGAAAATCGCATTATAATATCTAAATAACCATATTTTGTAGAACTTACTGTGTAAAATCAGTAGGTAACGCCTCGAGCGCTTCGATTTTGGCCTTCAATGTGTCATTCTTTTTTTGCATATCGGCAATTATGGAGTTAAGGAAGTTAATTTGTGCTGTATTGTCTTCTGTTTCATCGCCCTGAAGATCAATGCAATTATAAAAACTCTAAATTTAGTTATGCAAATATGTATAACTGCTCACCTCTTTAGGCACACTGCCTATAGCTGAAGCATTCTGCTTTAATATGTTTAGTGCTTCTTGTTCGTTGAGTCGACTTTGCAAAGCTACAATTTCTCGCCTTTTCTCAAGCTCAACAACCTCAAGTTTGCGCTGCAGACTAGCGTTGTCTGTCTTCAATGTTTTTTGCACCTCCAAATTCTGCATCAGTTCTTGTTCTAAAAGCTTAATACGTTCTTGTAAACTTTGTAACTCTACGACTTTCGCCGTGGTGGCATCACCCATTTCATCGACAACTTTTTTATACTCATCGAGCTGGGTTTGTAAGTCTGCGTGATGTGCATGAACGGTCTGTCCTTTCTCTTCAATCGCCTTCTGTAGCTCATCTTTTGCAGTATTCAATTCATTGATTTGAGTCGCTTGATCCAGTAGTGTGGATTGCACACTGGCTAGAGCTGCTTGGGATGCTTCGAATTTGGCAACGACATTTTCCAATTCGATTTGCTTTTCAGCTATTGTTTTGCCCTTGTGTTGCAGCTGCGTCTGAGCATCACCAAGCTGTTGTTTCATTTCCACAAGCTTTTCACTTAGTTTTTCCATATTTTGATCAGCTTCCATTTCAAAGAGTTCGAAAATGTTTGCTGTTTCGCATTTTTCCTTTTCCAATGCCTGCAAAGCCCTCGACATCTCGGCATTGGTCGCTGATATATTTGCATTCACTGTCTGTACAGTGTCGACCATATTTCTCAACTCGTCCATTTTCTTTTTGTCCTCTTCTGCCACCTTGTTTCTGAATTTCACTTCCGTATTCGCGAGTTCTAGTGCATTTTGCACGGTTATAAGTTGCTCTTGCAGCTTTTTGGTATCCTCAAGTGCATTGGACTGTGCCAATTTCAACTGCTCGGTTTCGTTACGACTTATCGTCAGTTGATCTTCCTTCGTGACCATCTCAGCGTGCAAGCTGTCAATACTCATTTGTAATTCTGCATTTTTCAGCTGCACGCTACTGAGTGTACTCGAACCCACCATTTGTGCTTGCTGCAAAAACTCCCGCTGCTTCTCAGTCTCACTAGCCAAGCTAGTTATTTGCTTGCTGAGCTCCTCCTCTTTTGATTTGAAGTCCAATTGGGATTTCAGCAACTCATCTTGCAAGAGTTTTATTTGATGCTGCAAACTGGAAATCGCCTCATCCAATCTGCTCTTCGTCTGTTCTGCACTTTTGAGCTGCGCTTCGAAATTTTCGATAATCTTATTTCGCTCTCTCAAAAAAGTGGCAGATCTACCACAATGTGGTAGAAGTCCGATCACTGGCGTGCGCTCATACTTAACGAGTGCTCGTTTGTAAACAGCGTCGCCTGTTGCTCGTGAGTTGCGCAAGCTCAGAGCAAACTAACGAGTGAGGTCGGTGTTATGCAGAAATTTTGTTTGGCAAACTGCGTGCAATTGTTGTTGCAGCAAACTCGGGGAGAGCGAGTTTGGCGACTCTCACAGCAAACTAATTTTGTTTGGTCCAACTGCAGCCAATTCGGCGTTGTCATATACAAAAATTTTAGACAATTGTTGCTATACACAAAATTCTCATTTCGTGTTGGCAATAGCCATGAAAACCATAATGAACGTGCAACCCTGTGCCAAACTCGACATAACCACCTCCGAGCAAACTAAGCAGCCGCCATTTAATTTGGCAAACAAAAATTTGTCTGCATAACACCGACCTGAGTGAGGGGCTAAAATGAGACAAATCCGAACCCTTCATATGTACAATATACGGTAAACTCTATAAAATTGTGAAATCGTGACGTCTCAGCCTTCTTAATTTTTTGGCAACAACAAAAAGTTTTGAACTTTTTTATCGAAAAACCTTTCACTCAGAAGATCTAAAAAATTACTTTTTACAGAATTGAAATTGGTTCAGCTGTTTGGTCATCTGAAATACATTTCATTTATATATATATATATATT